TGCAACAGCGTTAAGATCACAAATAAGCGTGAATTTCTATTCATAAATTCATTAGATTCATAAAAGAGTGAAATATACCAAAAACGAACCCAAAGCAGTGTTTGTATACTTTTAGTAGGGTGTAGTATTGAAATATGAAAAGTGAGTTCCATCACAATGTTAATCTAGATAGAAATAAAAACGTTGTGGGTATTTATGCTCTGCGTTTGTGAAAGTTGACTCCACCGGGATGAGGATGCATGACTACCCTGCATATTTGGTCATCGTAGTACTGTTTCTCAAATCGGTGGTGTCAAGGTGTAATCAATTACCATATCCAATGACGTGTTCAAGAAGTGGCTTCATTTGATGCAGCCTTCCATGGCTTAAGCATGTGTTAAAAATGACCTGCCAGCAGCTTCTATAGCGTTAACAGTTTGCTACCTCAGAGACTGGCTATGATATGCAAAAAAAATGATCCACCCATGATGCAGTGCTGTGGAATGTTAGTGCATTAAGACTCCCTGGACGGGGCCCGGAAGGAATATTATTAGATATGACTCAGAATGGAAATCAGCGCTAAACATGATACAATCTCCTTCTTTCCTCTATCTTCCAAAGTAATATGAAGTAATGAAATCTTCCTTCAGGGTATTAGGTAAATGTATATGCTTATCTGTTTCATTCTCATGCCCAACCATTCTATTTCTCTTTCCACTAGTTGGCTAGAACTCAGCTACCCGGAACAGATTTTTTTATGTACTAAGCTATAGACAATATTTATTATCGGAGGGCTGATGATACTACCCAATTACACAGGCTTAAGTGGGAGGAGCGGATTTCAAACCACGGGGGCACACTAGTCGAAGGTTAAATGTTAAGGCCCATAAATTGCATCTCCATCTTGATCTCTATACGACAAGGCATATATTCTATCTCATTTTACAACTCTGTGACACTGCATATGATTGTATTCGATTGCCTGACCAAGATATGTTATTCCTTAAACAATTTTCGACCCAGGTTAAAAAATATATTATGGAGCGAAATTCGAACCTACGACCCACTGACTGAAAGTGGAGTATCAACGAGTCATATCTTTACACCTTCAAGAAACATACAACCTTAGAAAAAGATTAGTAAAGCTGCATTCCATCGAAGAACTATTATCTGATTATAGTCTGAATATGAAAGTAAGAAAGAAAGATAGAAATCAATACTGACAGAGTTGAGGATTAAACTACAAAACTATTTTACTCTATAAGACAAATTATTATGATGAGTAAGCTGTACACATTGTAAGAGCGATCTGATAGAAAATGACACTGGGTTCGAACCCCGGTGAATGCATACTGCTGAGGTGCCCAAAACCAGGACGAAACAGATGTCCAGCACTCCCAGGTTTTCCAATGGTTCCCTAACCATTTCAGAAACACTTTGTATTAACCAACGCGAAAACCAGAACACAGATTGGCAACTCGAGAATCCTTTATTCTTACGCCAACAAGTAACTTACAATAAGGTTATTACACAAGGTCTAAGAGCAAATGTTATAACAGTAAATCACTATAATACTTTTGATAGTTTTCGATCTCCCACTGAACAGCAAACGATGAGACGATGACTGATGGATTGATGACTCCCGCGAAAAATATGGAGGGGTCGGGTTTGAGCAAACAACCATCCACTCATCCTTACTGTACTTAATACAGAGAATCCCGTTTAGTAACGGATGTGTGCCGTCGTTTCTTTTATGCTAAAGATAGGGGCGAGGCATTTATAGTCTTTTATCTCATGTGAAGTGGCGCGACTTGACACGTATAAACTGGGAAATAAAGTCCTCCATGCCGTCTGAAAAACTTGTGCTTATTCCGACTAAGATAATAACATCCCTCCAATTATGTGTCTGAGTTATGTTCATGTAAATTAAACCTTATAGCAATCAACTTCACAATAATTTTGGATTTCTTGAAAAAGGAATTCGGGACGATAATGAAATGATTATTAAAATCACACTTTGAATGACGCGGAAAACCCAAAACCACAGGATTTGTCTCAATCGTGGTGCTATATTAAATATGAAATATAATATACAAATCCCAATTGTGAGGTGTCTGTGGTTGAATGCCGTCAAAAGGCACAGTCAATGTGCGTCTAAAATTTGCAGAGATGTATCAAAGTCAATACACGTCACTCAAGTGGTGCGCGAATAGAGGTTACGGAACCAAGGTATACGAATAAAAAGCGTCCAAAAGTAACGGGCGCATGAATAATGCGCATACAGCAGATAATGTCTTGCCATAAGAAAGTAACTACTGTATATCAAAAAGATTAGTAATACATCAAGTGAATTAAACTTTAATAACAAACAAAGTCGTGTTTAAGGAGTAAAATGTAATTCATACTACTTAGCAGCAGAGGAGGTATGGAAGGAATAAATAATGATTTACTGGAAGTAAGAAAGTTAAAAACAATGGTACAGTTATAGGACGAATGCTTACAACTACCACATGTCGTAGTTCCTACTCCTCCTGCAGAGAAAACAATAGCGTTTCACTAAATGACCCAATACACTACAATCATGTTGTGAAAACACAAAAATGTACTTCTGACTCTCAAATTTACTGCCACCTTTGTCCCAACGCACTGTGTAGATACCACTGTGCAGCTATATTATCTGACGCATGTGCAGAAAATGTGAAGCAGTAAAAGTACATTATAGCGCATATATATTATGCACCTCGGAAGAATGCTGACTGCGATATCTCATTCAAAAGGCATGTAAAGAATATAATTTGTCAGTACACCATCACCGCAAGGGACAACAATGCTACGATTAACGGAGATATGCATTAAGGCCACTTGATAGAAAACATAATTATTTTTACCGTTCTCGTTGTAATGAACGATAAAATTATCACTGAATTTCAGCCAATACAAGGATAACCAGGGCCGATGATACAGACTTGCTGACTTCAACGAGAAAACATAACCACTGAAAAAACTCACAAATTAACCTCCCAGAACAGTACATCTCCTACACGAAATTCAATTGCAAATAACCCTATTCAGACAAGATAATACTTGGTTGGCAGATCACAGTGATCTACACACTGGATAGCCATTTCGATAGTTTGGTAGCGAGATCATCAGTAGTGTAATAGGTTTACAGTGAAATGTGTGAAAATATAAACGCAATTTATGGCACTTTTATTGCCTCATTTTACTCGATATCATGGCACTGATACATAACGCTGCATATCATAAGATATCTAGAAATACAATTGCTATAAGTATAAAACTTGGGCACTGTGGTAGAGTATAACTCCATCATGCATAAGAATTTATTTCGACAAATCACCAAGTGTTATACAGTAATATTAACTCATGACGTTTCGAGCAGAAACTATCGCTCATAATCATATCTAGAAACATAATTGAATTAATTGGGAGTAGAAGAGAATTCAACCGGAGTGAATTTATTCACATCTTAACATCTTGCTGCGCGGGATGTTCTCCATAAGAGCGAAAAGTGTCAATGCAGATGTCTGGCGATTACAACCAGAGTGGTCTACTTTGACGAGTGAGAAAATTATGACTCCAAACCTGTGGTGTACATGGGCTCCAGAATTCGAATGAGTCGAATGGCGTATGAACCTGTCTTGGTCACCGGTAACCAAGGGAACGGAGCTACTGACACTACTCAACTAGCCTATCGATCAAACTTCAAGTCTAAGGCTACAAGTGTGACTCCGAAGACAACCCCATGCTTCAATCTGGGGATCCATGCAGTATCCCAATCCTCATCCAATAAAAATTTTGTGTAGCACGCCTCTTGCTACCCAAAATGCATCAGCTTTGTGCTTTAATAAGTATAATATAGTAAATAAGAAATCTCACCACAGGAATGCACTTAATTGCCTTCGTACAGCAGCATAGCTGACGGGATCTTAATTGAGTAAGATTAAATGAGAAGAAACGCAAAGGAACACAAATGTAAAATAACAATTACTACTGTTAATCAACTATTTAGAGAAGAAATATACATGGTTAATCACAAACTCTATTAAAATTACCTTGAAGTCAACAGAGTTTTGTCAGGAGATGCTGGTGAACAGAGTTCCGATACTTCTTCAACTGAAGACTACAAAAATCAGCAGAAAATAACAAATAAACGTCACAGGAGGTCACATTGGTCATTTAGTAACTTGAATTATAAAGGTTGGCAAAACACTGATTAGTGGAAGAAGAATACATCTTTTGATCACTTCTTCAGAAATAATTATTGTTATGAATTAAGGGATATGCAGATACAACTAAACAACCAGAATAAACCACTGGAGTGAATAATGGGGATACTTCCGAATGTATGTCCGTTGGCGTGATTGACACCAAAAGTCATTAGTTGAAATCTTCAGCCTTAGATCTGGGGTGGTGTAAGTAATTTTGTTGAAGCAGCATAGGTGCGTGGAAGCCTTGCTTACCCTCAAGGCTCGGCGATCGTATAAATTTATGATTACTCTCCACTTTCATATATCGAAAACACTCCAGTCTTCATTTCGGTTTCCTCCACTCATTCTTGGGAAACCTTGGAGATTCAAACTAAGGCACTAAACACGTGAAGTCAAGTCGTATGAAGAAGTCGCGTCACAAGGATACATTAAATATCTCTCATTACTTTCTCTTTTATCTATTTAATCTTTCCACTCCTTCGGAATAAGTCGCCAATTTATAGACAGGATAGTGCAACGCAGATTTCACATAATCCGTGAGTAATCTTGAAGTATGTTTCATGCAAAAGTGAAGTCGTACGACAGCATAAGAATAAGCTTAGAAAACTATTTCGAAAAACTCGGATTCAGTGAATGGTAGAGCCAGTAGAATATCTACACAAACTCAGTTAAACATTTTTACTAGAACGAAAACATCAACGTATAATGAAGGGTTATGCATGCTATGCTAAAAGACACTCCGGGAAATGAATGCAAATTAATAATTGAAATAATTCAAACTAGCCTTACCCTGCTAGATCGCCTCAAACCGAATGCAGGTTTTACTGAAGTTGAAACACTTGGTAGCGTTGTCTGGGGATTAGGACAAGGACCAGAACGTTGAGATATGATCAAAGTGAGGGGTTTATCAGGATTAGCTTTCACAACTAACGACGGTTTCGAGAGACACTTTTGATTAGATTCAGCTTCTCTGTTTCTGTGATGACGTTTGATTGCAGAAACGACGCTGGCAGGTAATTCTTTTCCTTTTGACTCGGATTGTAAGCAAATCATACGCTCCACAACGCTGGCGAGAATTTGTTCCAATTCCATTTGAATAGAAGACAAATCCAGCAGCGGCAGCTCACGGGATCCGGCAACTACAAGATTAGCCTATGTTAAGAGAACTACCTTTCAGAAGTGTAGGGTAGGAGGACTCCAGGTTCTCCAAACCATGTGTGCCGAAGGTAAATTCACATGAGGCCTGTGAACTGTCGATCTTTTTCCTCCCCATCGGTCGGACTGACTAAATCCTGCGGGGAGTATTTGTAAATATCAAAGTGAAACGGATAATGTTGCCAGATGGAAATTCAATAATCATGTATGAATTAGCAAACGAAACAAAGGCATGATGCACACACTGCAGGATGGTGTTCAGAAGTGACTCAGTGACTTAGGGACTTGTCATCTAACTAACACATTCAGATTATAAGTTTCAAGACTGGAGTTGTTACGAATCTCCTAGAATAATTTGGGCGGTGAGTCAAACTGAACCACTGTAAATTATTCAAAATAATCCCAGAGTGCTTGAGAAAAATCAAAACAAGATTTTCCTGAACGTTCCACTGTGTAAGCCACAGCTTCTCTAGCAGAATTATTCGGATTTTATTAACCATCAAAATATATAGCCAAAATCACAAATTGAGGTCAGTTCCTCTGAAGGTCACTCGTCGATAGACATTTTCATCAACAGAAAAGTGCAAACAGTCATCACATAATTGTTATGTCTAGTGTCAAACTGTCATATTTGCGTATTTGGAAAACAAAAAATTTCCAACACTAACTTAGTCTCAAAATATATAAAGTTTACTATGAGATAGAATCGAATGAGGGAACTCTAAACTTCCAGGATTGTCTTGTAAAGGGACAAACTGACGAGAAACTAAAGCTCACGATACACAGAAAACCCACACATCCAAACAAATATTTGAATTTACAATCAGATCATCCAATAAGAATGAAAGTTTCAGTAGCTTTAAATCTCGTCAACAAGGCTAGAAACATTGTAACAGATAATGATGATAAGGAGAACGCTATCCAATATAAAACAGATTTTAATTGGAAATGGTTATCCGGAAAAGCTGCTAAAAAACATCATCAATAACAAGGACCAGAAGTGAGAACAGAAAATTAAAAAAATTTGGCTACTGGGGGTAGACATTCCATATCGAAAAGAGACAGCTGAATAACTTCAAAGAGTACTGGCTTCATATAATATTAAAGCCTATTTCAAGCCGTCTAATTCTCTAGAGAAAGCTTTGGTGAATGTCAAAGGTGTGATACACTGTCCCTACAATGTAAGGAAGAGCAGTAGACAGGTGAAGGTCAGAGTGAATGAATATAGAATGTGCATGAAAACGCCCACCTACAAATAATATTGAATTAAAGTTTTCGAAAAAATAATTCATAATTTTCTATTTATTTTTTCATATTTTTTATCACAGCTTGATTCCACACCATATTTTTGTTACAAGTATGGAATTTTCAGCGTGGATATCGGTAGCCGAAATTTCGCAGGCCGATCATAGTTATCAGGTGTGCGTTTGCGTGTGTTTGAACCCCGGACCATCCACATGGTCGGCGAAAGCCCTAACCACTGTGCCACCAACGCACTGCGGCGTTCATTTCTCTTGTTTTGCTTCGCCTTTGGTCTACGGGGAATAAATACTACAGAAGTTGCGGGTATTAGATTTTGGCTTGGTATACTTCAAACTATCCGTGAACTTCAACCACCTCAGCCTCTGAAAGTTAATTGTTTTCGGGGCGAATAAGTGCACCCACTTCATATTCCTAAGTAGGTGATACGTACCAATTTGATGTCAGTAAAAAAACACGTATATAAAGATTTTGTCCACTTCAATTGGTGTATTATACAGATGGAAGTGAACTTGAATATGCGCTTCGTCATTCGTGCACTGCATTCAAACCTGCCCGTTTTCAATATGTGCCCACCTTTTGGCTGTTCGCCTGAGTTGCTAAACTTCTAACTTTAGTTTAAGTTTTCTTTCTGGAAATTGAGCAATATCTGACCGCGAAATTCCCAAGTTAAAACTGATATTCGTTTAAGTGGATCAAGGGTCACCTTCATCGACCGCCTAATTTGCAATTTTGACAATAAAACTCATGTCTGGTTTTTCGTAGGTTCCATTAATTTTGACAGGGTCATTCTATAGCGTATGTATTATCTGTCTATTTAAAAAGCATTTTTTAATGGTATGATGTTCAGCAGTAGTGAATTATGGGAAATAAAGATGTAGTTATTGTTGATTTTTGAAAATAAATGTCTTCGTGTGAACACATATTAATGCCATGTTAGTTTAACACATCTAACCTGTAAGTGTCTAATTGAATGTTTGCAGCATAAAACTATGCTGACCTTAGAATAAAAAGTTTCATTGCGAATTAACGTTGCTAAATGAAGAAGCAGCGATTTAAATATATGTGTGTCCTTTAAATGTAAAACAATAACATGTAAATTATTCGAATTCCTCTATATCCTACCCCATAAGTATACAATATTTAAATCGTATCACTTTGTGTTAAAATGCTTACTTTGGGAGATCTCGTAAATGTTATCGCATCACAGTGAGTGTCATAATTTTCAACTGAACAAGAGCGTTTTATGATTTTAAACCACATATAAAGTTTCGGCTAAGTCCCAGCCACATCATACATGTGCACTGTTCTAACCCAGCGTTAATTCAGTGTTTTGGCCGGCTCTGTGACTGACTGGTTTCAACGTAGAACTTTGCACGGAAGTGCAGTTGTTCTTCTTTCTTTGTCTTTACTTCGGCTATCTCCTACGGGAGGATGAGCCGGCTTCATGAACCATGAAGTTTCATGGGAATTGGGTACGAGTGATGTCCCCAGCATCGCTCGGTTGTTCAAGTTGCCACGGCTGCAGTTCGGCCTTCCAACTCTAATCTAGTTTGCAAAAATTATTTCTAGTCAAAAACACGTCAATTTGAGCTGCTAGACCTTGGTGAAAAGTTCTATTACGGCTTGTCACCAAGTGAATTCAGTTTCTGAATGAGTCATTGACTTATTGTATTCATTAAAACAGATCTAGGTCTTGCACAATAGGTCCTTACTTCTAGACATTCAATCATGGTGTGACACCAGGTGAATGACAGATTACCTATGATTATTGTATGGATTTGTATCGTAAATGGCGTTAAAGGATTCACATCTTAACTATGTAGCCCAAAAAGACCAACCTGAACAGAAGATACAAATCTCTTATTTAAAAGATTCTGATGGGACTAGTAGGGATATTTTTGATGTATTCCAAACTTATACACTGGACTAAAGCATGAAAAACGAAATAGTAATGGACTTAAGAACAAGTGAAGACTACTTACTGTTTAAATGTTACTGTAATATTTCTAACAATTCCGAATTCTAACATATGCCACATTGAAATTTATTTAATTATCTACAGCTTGGCAGGGGCAAATCCCATACCAGTCGTACTTAAATCTCTGCTCAAGCCGCCTTCGAATATCTCGATCTTTATTCTTAAGAATCCACTCAGTCAAGCAGGATATAAATGTCTGTATCTAGCACTCAATCAGTTAATGAGTTCACCGATCTTGAGCTCAATAGTATCCCTACATCAACAAGCTCACAAGAATTAGCCAAATAATCTCCTGGCACTCAGTGTGAATTTCGTAGGTTCACCAAACTAACCATGTAGGGTTATGTGAACAACTACACGGACTACGTCTTCATGTTGCAGGAAAAAAAACAGTCCGTGATGTCAAAGTTGTAACTAGGGAAACCTGTCATCCGATTTGTAAACTAACAATGTGGTTTCAAGAAACCGATATTCATGTTTCTTTGTCTCAACCCTTTAGCCACAGTTAAAAGATGGAAAAATTAGAAGAGTCAGTGTAATGAAAGGACTATGGAGACAGGTGACAAACAGTGGATTTTTATCTGTTCCCAGGTGTGTAAGCACTTACTCTCTCAGGGCTGTCCACAACGTGAAAGTTGGTTTCTTCTTGAAGTATCTCAAAAAAGACAGTAAAGTTGTGTGATCTTATAATGCATGGGATAATTGCTTAAGGTCGACCATACATGGTCTGCTCAGAGGTGAGTACGAAGCTGTCTGTACAGATGGCCTTACAACCGGCTGCAAACTGCCATAAAGTATCGATGTACACTGTTTGGAAGTGACCTCTTATAACTCGGATTGACTCGGATTATTTTAAGACGATTCTTTATACTGCTATATGAGTTACGTGACGTGATTATTTTGATCACTCTTTAGCAGAAACCTGAAGTTGATTAAAGCAATATATTCAAGATGAACTGCTTTTATTATACAGTGATATACTTCGATTTTAGCGTTGATTGCACTGGACGTTTATCCTACGTCCTACGTAGGAAACACCTGGCGGTAAAACCATCACGTCCCCAGCTCGATCAGGAAACTAAATCCCTATTTGAGGAAGAACTAGCTAAACGCATATCTGAATTCGACAGCTGTGCTCACCCTGGAGAAGCCTGGAAGAATATTCAGTCAGCCATAGATATAGCTGTAAAAGCTGTGAATAAGGCAAATCCAAAGGTGAGTAAAAACCACTGGATTTCGACTGCCTCATCCGAACTGATAGATGCTAGAAGACTTATTCCGGCGAGCTTCGAATTCAATGAGGAGCGGAAGCTGCACAAAAGGAAACTTACTAAAAGTCTCCGCAAGGACCGTGAACAGTGGTGGCTGACAAAGGCAAAAGAGATGGAAAAAGCATCGGCGATAGGCAACACCAGGCAACTCTTTAGACTCATCAGGGAAACGGGTGGGAGAAGGCAAATCATAAGTGAGACTATTTCTGAGAAAAATGGCTCCTTAATTAGCTCTCAGAATAGACGCCTTGAACGCTGGAAAGAACACTTTGAGGGACAATTTAACTTGCCTACAGCCACACTGAACCTCCCCGACATCCACCACACACCCGAATGGGATATAGACACTGGTCAGCCGACTGTAAGTGAAGTCACAAAAGCTATCAGTAATTTGAAACGAGGCAAAGCGGCAGGACCCGACGGAATTATTCCGGAGGTGTTTAAATATGGGGGTGACATACTAGTTTGTAGATTAACTGAGGTACTAAGCAAAGTGTGGGAATCAGCGACAGTACCATCAGACTGGGGTAAGTCACTTATTATACCGATATTCAAGAAGGGAAACAAGTCCTCGTGTGATAATCATAGGGGGATCAGCCTAACGAACATAGTCTCTAAAATCCTAGGCTCAGTAATCATGCATAGACTAAGCAGAACTCGGGAGGAACAGACAAGGGAAAATCAAGGAGGCTTTAGACCAGGTAGAGGGTGCATAGACCATATCTTCACTCTTCGACAGATTCTAGAACACAGACACACTTTTCGGCGTCCAACAGTTATCATATTTCTTGACTTGAAGGCGGCCTTCGACTCCGTGGATCGAAAGGTACTATGGCAATGTCTGACTGTGAAGGGATGTGAAGCGCGGATGCCCGGCGCTCTTCACCGGGTTGACTGTCCATTGGATGACAGTCTAGGGGAGATGGCTAAACCCTGATTCCAAACCTCCAACGACTGGCGTATAAAGCTCACCGGAGTTCACCGGCAGACGTATGGACAAAGAGCTTATTGGATGCCCTGGATGTCTGGCCCCATTCAAAAAGGCGTATGAACCGGACTCCGGTCACCGGCTGCCAATGGATAGTGGACTCCCCACTCCACTCCTACTGCCTTGTAGGTCACACTTGGCTGTGTAAAGGCTAGAGCTGCACTCTCAAACAAAAGGCCGAGCGATGCTGGGGACATCACTCGTACCCAATTCCCATGAAACTTCATCAACTCTCTTACAAACATTCGAGATGTTCATGAAGCCGGTTCATCCTCCCGTAGGAGATAGCCGAAGTTAAATAAGTAAGTAAGGGAGTGCCAAGAAAGTACATTGCACTAATCAAAGCACTCTATTCAAATTCACGTAGTCGTGTAAGGGCTTATGGGGAATTGTCATCTGAATTGGTAACAACCAGTGGTGTCCGACAGGGATGTCCACTTTCCCCATTCCTGTTTAACTTCGTCATAGATATGCTAACAGAAGTATCCTTAACTGAACGTAGTGACTTAGGAATCGACTTGTTACCAGGGAATAATCTAATGGACTTAGAATATGCAGATGACATAGTCCTGTTAGGGGGGGATGCTGACAAAATGCAGAGTTTTCTGAACACCTTGAGCAGCAATCTTCGTATGTTTGGCATGCGATTCGCCCCTGAAAAATGTAAGATGCTGCTACAGGACTGGACCACGTCAACCCCTAACTTAGTGATAGGGAGTGAAGTGATAGAACATGTTGACCACTTCACCTACTTGGGAAGTTGTATTAGCACCAACGGACTGATTGGCGATGAAATCTCATCACGGATCCGAAAAGCTCGAGCTGCTTTCGCTGACTTACACCATTTCTGGCGTAGGCGTGACATCCGGTTATCAACCAAGGGACGTGTGTACTGCTCATCAGTTCGCTACGTCCTTCTCTATGGCTCTGAAACATGGCCAATACGCGTTGAAGACATGAAAAGGTTGACTTCTTTCGATCATAGATGTCTGCGATCTCTGTCTCACGTTAGGTGGTTTCACAAGGTAAGTAATGTTGACGTTAGGCGTAGACTGTTGGGCAAACGGGGAAAATCAATCAACGAGGCTATAAAGTTACATAGACTAAGATGGCTAGGTCAGGTGCTGCGCATGCCTAACCACCGCCTCCCCCGACGGGCATTGCTAGCTGATATAGGTTCAGGTTGGAAAAGAGCCAGTGGTGGCCAAACAAAAACATGGCCTCTCAATCCATGAAATCCTTGACAGTTAAACTGAGTCAGGTAGGGAGATGCAGACTCCCGGGTTGGGGCCCTCGGGACTCTAGGAATCAATGGCTGGAGACAATAGGTGACATGGCTCAAAATCGTTGTCAATGGCCAGCGCAGATGTATTCAGTCTCTGTAATCTTTCATATTCCTTTCTACCATTACCCATTCTGTTTCACTCTTATACTTGTCAGACTGTATTGATTCTCTTCACTCATCTTCTTGTCTACTTCTGTGTGCTATTTGGAAGGTGGCAACTCGAACTTCTGCACTGCGGTGCCAAGTTCTATGTTGAATCCAGACAGACAGACAGACGTTTAAAGAGTTAGAAACTTGAAAGTTTAGAAATGAATTGTCTTTAATTCCTTAACCCTAAATGTAGTCATGTTTTATTTCTTTATATAACTTAATTTCTGTACGAACAACTCATTCTTTTTGTCATATGAATTTGATTCGAAAACGGACTATGTAAATGATGTGGAAGTGTTATATTATTTTTAACTGTCTTACATATCTCAGGTTGTATTGAAGTTGATCGAAAAATAGTTAGTTGGTTTTACTGGAGAGTCTTATCATACAAGGGTTAGCGATTCTGTATAACTGGAAGCTGCATTGATTTGTTCATCAATGATATTCAGAAACATAGTTCAGCTACCTTAAACCAACTCTAAGCGAACTACATCATGTGCTGCATATATCATCCGAAGGCTAATGACACTACTCGGTCGTTCAGGTCGAAAGAGGTTGAGCAACGTTGAAAACCTGAATATGTTACTATAAATTATTTAAAATAATCCCAGAGTGCTTAAGAAAAATCAAAACAAGATTTTCCTGAACGTTCCACTGTGTAAGCCACAGCTTCTCCAGCAGAATTATTTGGATTTTATTAAACATCAAAATATATGATCAAAAATCACATAAATTGAAGTCAGTTCCCTTGAAGGTCACTTGTCGGTAGATATTTGTACCAACAGAAAAATGCAAACAGTCATCACATATTTGTTAGGTCGTGTCAAATTGTCACATATTCGTAATTGTCTGTATGAGTGTATGTTGTTTGTCATGTGGAAAACACGTCAAAACGTGATATTTCACAGCAGTCATACTATAAAATTGAATTTTTTCTTTCGCTTATCTGTTTTGCTTCATTAGGGTCTGACACACGGGTGATAAGTCTATCCTTTCTCTCTTATTTACTGCATTCGATGTGATTAAAATATGCAATGTTTCAGAGGTCAGCCTTTCTTTATGTGAATGAAAGTCTCTTCCAAGAATTTCGACATTGTTGAAGTCAATCTTATGTCCGCTGTCTATAACATGCATTTCTGTAGTTGATATTTTTTATAGACCTTTTAATCCTGTTTTATTTGTAGGTGGGCGTTTTCATGCACATTCTATATTCATTCACTCTGACCTTCACCTGTCTACTGCTCTTCCTTACATTGTAGGGACAGTGTATCACACCTTTGACATTCACCAAAGCTTTCTCTAGAGAATTAGACGGCTTGAAATAGGCTTTAATATTATATGAAGCCAGTACTCTTTGAAGTTATTCAGCTGTCTCTTTTCGATATGGAATGTCTACCCCCAGTAGCCAAATTTTTTTAATTTTCTGTTCTCACTTCTGGTCCTTGTTATTGATGATGTTTTTTAGCAGCTTTTCCGGATAACCATTTCCAATTAAAATCTGTTTTATATTGGATAGCGTTCTCCTTATCATCATTATCTGTTACAATGTTTCTAGCCTTGTTGACGAGATTTAAAGCTACTGAAACTTTCATTCTTATTGGGTGATCTGATTGTAAATTCAAATATTTGTTTGGATGTGTGGGTTTTCTGTGTATCGTGAGCTTTAGTTTCTCGTCAGTTTGTCCCTTTACAAGACAATCCTGGAAGTTTAGAGTTCCCTCATTCGATTCTATCTCATAGTAAACTTTATATATTTTGAGACTAAGTTAGTGTTGGAAATTTTTTGTTTTCCAAATACGCAAATATGACAGTTTGACACTAGACATAACAATTATGTGATGACTGTTTGCACTTTTCTGTTGATGAAAATGTCTATCGACGAGTGACCTTCAGAGGAACTGACCTCAATTTGTGATTTTGGCTATATATTTTGATGGTTAATAAAATCCGAATAATTCTGCTAGAGAAGCTGTGGCTTACACAGTGGAACGTTCAGGAAAATCTTGTTTTGATTTTTCTCAAGCACTCTGGGATTATTTTGAATAATTTACAGTGGTTCAGTTTGACTCACCGCCCAAATTATTCTAGGAGATTCGTAACAACTCCAGTCTTGAAACTTATAATCTGAATGTGTTAGTTAGATGACAAGTCCCTAAGTCACTGAGTCACTTCTGAACACCATCCTGCAGTGTGTGCATCATGCCTTTGTTTCGTTTGCTAATTCATACATGATTATTGAATTTCCATCTGGCAACATTATCCGTTTCACTTTGATATTTACAAATACTCCCCGCAGGATTTAGTCAGTCCGACCGATGGGGAGGAAAAAGATCGACAGTTCACAGGCCTCATGTGAATTTACCTTCGGCACACATGGTTTGGAGAACCTGGAGTCCTCCTACCCTACACTTCTGAAAGGTAGTTCTCTTAACATAGGCTAATCTTGTAGTTGCCGGATCCCGTGAGCTGCCGCTGCTGGATTTGTCTTCTATTCAAATGGAATTGGAACAAATTCTCGCCAGCGTTGTGGAGCGTATGATTTGCTTACAATCCGAGTCAAAAGGAAAAGAATTACCTGCCAGCGTCGTTTCTGCAATCAAACGTCATCACAGAAACAGAGAAGCTGAATCTAATCAAAAGTGTCTCTCGAAACCGTCGTTAGTTGTGAAAGCTAATCCTGATAAACCCCTCACTTTGATCATATCTCAACGTTCTGGTCCTTGTCCTAATCCCCAGACAACGCTACCAAGTGTTTCAACTTCAGTAAAACCTGCATTCGGTTTGAGGCGATCTAGCAGGGTAAGGCTAGTTTGAATTATTTCAATTATTAATTTGCATTCATTTCCCGGAGTGTCTTTTAGCATAGCATGCATAACCCTTCATTATACGTTGATGTTTTCGTTCTAGTAAAAATGTTTAACTGAGTTTGTGTAGATATTCTACTGGCTCTACCATTCACTGAATCCGAGTTTTTCGAAATAGTTTTCTAAGCTTATTCTTATGCTGTCGTACGACTTCACTTTTGCATGAAACATACTTCAAGATTACTCACGGATTATGTGAAATCTGCGTTGCACTATCCTGTCTATAAATTGGCGACTTATTCCGAAGGAGTGGAAAGATTAAATAGATAAAAGAGAAAGTAATGAGAGATATTTAATGTATCCTTGTGACGCGACTTCTTCATACGACTTGACTTCACGTGTTTAGTGCCTTAGTTTGAATCTCCAAGGTTTCCCAAGAATGAGTGGAGGAAACCGAAATGAAGACTGGAGTGTTTTCGATATATGAAAGTGGAGAGTAATCATAAATTTATACGATCGCCGAGCCTTGAGGGTAAGCAAGGCTTCCACGCACCTATGCTGCTTCAACAAAATTACTTACACCACCCCAGATCTAAGGCTGAAGATTTCAACTAATGACTTTTGGTGTCAATCACGCCAACGGACATACATTCGGAAGTATCCCCATTATTCACTCCAGTGGTTTATTCTGGTTGTTTAGTTGTATCTGCATATCCCTTAATTCATAACAATAATTATTTCTGAAGAAGTGATCAAAAGATGTATTCTTCTTCCACTAATCAGTGTTTTGCCAACCTTTATAATTCAAGTTACTAAATGACCAATGTGACCTCCTGTGACGTTTATTTGTTATTTTCTGCTGATTTTTGTAGTCTTCAGTTGAAGAAGTATCGGAACTCTGTTCACCAGCATCTCCTGACAAAACTCTGTTGACTTCAAGGTAATTTTAATAGAGTTTGTGATTAACCATGTATATTTCTTCTCTAAATAGTTGATTAACAGTAGTAATTGTTATTTTACATTTGTGTTCCTTTGCGTTTCTTCTCATTTAATCTTACTCAATTAAGATCCCGTCAGCTATGCTGCTGTACGAAGGCAATTAAGTGCATTCCTGTGGTGAGATTTCTTATTTACTATATTATACTTATTAAAGCACAAAGCTGATGCATTTTGGGTAGCAAGAGGCGTGCTACACAAAATTTTTATTGGATGAGGATTGGGATACTGCATGGATCCCCAGATTGAAGCATGGGGTTGTCTTCGGAGTCACACTTGTAGCCTTAGACTTGAAGTTTGATCGATAGGCTAGTTGAGTAGTGTCAGTAGCTCCGTTCCCTTGGTTACCGGTGACCAAGACAGGTTCATACGCCATTCGACTCATTCGAATTCTGGAGCCCATGTACACCACAGGTTTGGAGTCATAATTTTCTCACTCGTCAAAGTAGACCACTCTGGTTGTAATCGCCAGACATCTGCATTGACACTTTTCGCTCTTATGGAGAACATCCCGCGCAGCAAGATGTTAAGATGTGAATAAATTCACTCCGGTTGAATTCTCTTCTACTCCCAATTAATTCAATTATGTTTCTAGATATGATTATGAGCGATAGTTTCTGCTCGAAACGTCATGAGTTAATATTACTGTATAACACTTGGTGATTTGTCGAAATAAATTCTTATGCATGATGGAGTTATACTCTACCACAGTGCCCAAGTTTTATACTTATAGCAATTGTATTTCTAGATATCTTATGATATGCAGCGTTATGTATCAGTGCCATGATATCGAGTAAAATGAGGCAATAAAAGTGCCATAAATTGCGTTTATATTTTCACACATTTCACTGTAAACCTATTACACTACTGATGATCTCGCTACCAAACTATCGAAATGGCTATCCAGTGTGTAGATCACTGTGATCTGCCAACCAAGTATTATCTTGTCTGAATAGGGTTATTTGCAATTGAATTTCGTGTAGGAGATGTACTGTTCTGGGAGGTTAATTTGTGAGTTTTTTCAGTGGTTATGTTTTCTCGTTGAAGTCAGCAAGTCTGTATCATCGGCCCTGGTTATCCTTGTATTGGCTGAAATTCAGTGATAATTTTATCGTTCATTACAACGAGAACGGTAAAAATAATTATGTTTTCTATCAAGTGGCCTTAATGCATATCTCCGTTAATCGTAGCATTGTTGTCCCTTGCGGTGATGGTGTACTGACAAATTATATTCTTTACATGCCTTTTGAATGAGATATCGCAGTCAGCATTCTTCCGAGGTGCATAATATATATGCGCTATAATGTACTTTTACTGCTTCACATTTTCTGCACATGCGTCAGATAATATAGCTGCACAGTGGTATCTACACAGTGCGTTGGGACAAAGGTGGCAGTAAATTTGAGAGTCAGAAGTACATTTTTGTGTTTTCACAACATGATTGTAGTGTATTGGGTCATTTAGTGAAACGCTATTGTTTTCTCTGCAGGAGGAGTAGGAACTACGACATGTGGTAGTTGTAAGCATTCGTCCTATAACTGTACCATTGTTTTTAACTTTCTTACTTCCAGTAAATCATTATTTATTCCTTCCATACCTCCTCTGCTGCTAAGTAGTATGAATTACATTTTACTCCTTAAACACGACTTTGTTTGTTATTAAAGTTTAATTCACTTGATGTATTACTAATCTTTTTGATATACAGTAGTTACTTTCTTATGGCAAGACATTATCTGCTGTATGCGCATTATTCATGCGCCCGTTACTTTTGGACGCTTTTTATTCGTATACCTTGGTTCCGTAACCTCTATTCGCGCACCACTTGAGTGACGTGTATTGACTTTGATACATCTCTGCAAATTTTAGACGCACATTGACTGTGCCTTTTGACGGCATTCAACCACAGACACCTCACAATTGGGATTTGTATATTATATTTCATATTTAATATAGCACCACGATTGAGACAAATCCTGTGGTTTTGGGTTTTCCGCGTCATTCAAAGTGTGATTTTAATAATCATTTCATTATCGTCCCGAATTCCTTTTTCAAGAAATCCAAAATTATTGTGAAGTTGATTGCTATAAGGTTTAATTTACATGAACATAACTCAGACACATAATTGGAGGGATGTTATTATCTTAGTCGGAATAAGCACAAGTTTTTCAGACGGCATGGAGGACTTTATTTCCCAGTTTATACGTGTCAAGTCGCGCCACTTCACATGAGATAAAAGACTATAAATGCCTCGCCCCTATCTTTAGCATAAAAGAAACGACGGCACACATCCGTTACTAAACGGGATTCTCTGTATTAAGTACAGTAAGGATGAGTGGATGGTTGTTTGCTCAAACCCGACCCCTCCATATTTTTCGCGGGAGTCATCAATCCATCAGTCATCGCCTCATCGTTTGCTGTTCAGTGGGAGATCGAAAACTATCAAAAGTATTATAGTGATTTACTGTTATAACATTTGCTCTTAGACCTTGTGTAATAACCTTATTGTAAGTTACTTGTTGGCGTAAGAATAAAGGATTCTCGAGTTGCCAATCTGTGTTCTGGTTTTCGCGTTGGTTAATACAAAGTGTTTCTGAAATGGTTAGGGAACCATTGGAAAACCTGGGAGTGCTGGACATCTGTTTCGTCCTGGTTTTGGGCACCTCAGCAGTATGCATTCACCGGGGTTCGAACCCAGTGTCATTTTCTATCAGATCGCTCTTACAATGTGTACAGCTTACTCATCATAATAATTTGTCTTATAGAGTAAAATAGTTTTGTAGTTTAATCCTCAACTCTGTCAGTATTGATTTCTATCTTTCTTTCTTACTTTCATATTCAGACTATAATCAGATAATAGTTCTTCGATGGAATGCAGCTTTACTAATCTTTTTCTAAGGTTGTATGTTTCTTGAAGGTGTAAAGATATGACTCGTTGATACTCCACTTTCAGTCAGTGGGTCGTAGGTTCGAATTTCGCTCCATAATATATTTTTTAACCTGGGTCGAAAATTGTTTAAGGAATAACATATCTTGGTCAGGCAATCGAATACAATCATATGCAGTGTCACAGAGTTGTAAAATGAGATAGAATATATGCCTTGTCGTATAGAGATCAAGATGGAGATGCAATTTATGGGCCTTAACATTTAACCTTCGACTAGTGTGCCCCCGTGGTTTGAAATCCGCTCCTCCCACTTAAGCCTGTGTAATTGGGTAGTATCATCAGCCCTCCGATAATAAATATTGTCTATAGCTTAGTACATAAAAAAATCTGTTCCGGGTAGCTGAGTTCTAGCCAACTAGTGGAAAGAGAAATAGAATGGTTGGGCATGAGAATGAAACAGATAAGCATATACATTTACCTAATACCCTGAAGGAAGATTTCATTACTTCATATTACTTTGGAAGATAGAGGAAAGAAGGAGATTGTATCATGTTTAGCGCTGATTTCCATTCTGAGTCATATCTAATAATATTCCTTCCGGGCCCCGTCCAGGGAGTCTTAATGCACTAACATTCCACAGCACTGCATCATGGGTGGATCATTTTTTTTGCATATCATAGCCAGTCTCTGAGGTAGCAAACTGTTAACGCTATAGAAGCTGCTGGCAGGTCATTTTTAACACATGCTTAAGCCATGGAAGGCTGCATCAAATGAAGCCACTTCTTGAACACGTCATTGGATATGGTAATTGATTACACCTTGACACCACCGATTTGAGAAACAGTACTACGATGACCAAATATGCAGGGTAGTCATGCATCCTCATCCCGGTGGAGTCAACTTTCACAAACGCAGAGCATAAATACCCACAACGTTTTTATTTCTATCTAGATTAACATTGTGATGGAACTCACTTTTCATATTTCAATACTATACCCTACTAAAAGTATATAAACACTGCTAACCGGTATATATGAGCTGTGTATTGGCCTTAAAAATCCGGGCGGAAATCATCTGAATATTGTATTCATCACTGCGTGTAGGAAAAAAGACTATAAAGTTACACTTTGAGAAATAAATCCCCAAATCAAAATCGCCACTACTCAATAGATTTAATTAAAGTAGTATGATGACAATTGTTAAATGTTTTGCAGTCTAAGTGGTAGCAAATTAAAAATCATCCGACACGATAACTGAAGATGGTGGGAATAATAAACACAGGATGTACTGCCTGTTAGAATAATGCATTATTTACACAACAATTCTGCAGTGATGCCTCATTGGTCTAGGCTATTTAAGGTGCATTAACTCCGATGAAATTTAGACAACCAGGTGAATCAGTTAATATTACTGTACAACACTGTGTTATTTATCAAATAAAATCTTATCCATAATGGAGTTATGCTCTACCACAGTGCCCAAGTTTTATTCTTGTATCAACCAGGTGAACTTATTTTATTTCACACTGGGGCTTTTGCTCATTGCGTGTAGTACAGCAACTCGTATATTATATTAACGGATTGTATTGTAGTGTCATTCAATAAATTGGAGCTGTCCTTCTCACACCCCTTTACATTAGTTGAAACTTAACGGACAAGGTATTTTACCTATGAAGCCGTTTATAAAAAAAGGTAGGTTTGTGGTAGATTCTGCTGACTTGACAACAACAATAATAATAAAGCTTTATTTGAGACAATATGTAAGCACATAGTACAGAAATATTTAGGGTATTTATTTCCAAAATATTTCTTCTTCATACAGGATTTGCTTGTAAAGTCATAATGTAACATATAGCGTGTATCATACGTACGTACTGATGAAGAGTCCCAAACTAGGATGAAACAGCTGTCCAGTACTCTTTGCAGGTTTTCCAATGGTTCTCTAACTGATGTCAGCTCATGATGAAATCCTGTAACATAGAGTTCTTGCATATGATGAGTAGAGAACCAATTCTGTTGGTTTTTCTCCCATTTCATTAAAGAACTGCACAACGTGTGAGTTGGAAGCTAGTTGAACCAGTGTGTGAGTTCATGTAGTGGTCATTTGATATATAATAACTGCACAATTAAAACACCGAGAAATGCGAAAGAGTTTAAGTATTTTGATGGATGTGAAAATGCTGGTAGCTCCCCCCTCCCCAGTGATCTAATCGGGCTATCGTACTGACCGTTTACGAACAGAAATGTAACGCTTCTTTTATACTTTACATCACTTTAAAAATCATTAACGTTTTAGTTCGCTTAAATCTTTTATCATCATCGCTATAGTTACGTTATTCCGAACAAGTTTTGGGAGCTTATGGAACCTTATTGTGCTGAGATAACAGAAGCAAATGTCAGTTACTTGGAAGGCCTTATTCGATCATATCAACAATTAGAATCAATTTATTTTCATTTACCTGTGCTTAAACAAAATGAGGCGTGTAAACAGGAAGCTATTGAAGCACCAGGTTAGTGACTACTAAAATTTTTTTCCCCCACAGTTGATATATGAAAGCTTGTGTTGATATTTTTTTTCTTTCTCGTCGAATTTCCGAACATCACCCTGTATAGTGGTTGGTTAAGTAAAGGACAAACAAAATCTATTCGTAGCACTATTCTATCTCATCTTGTGGATATAGAACACAAGACTAATGTCAACGAGGCAGCTTTCAAAGTCATTTACCACATACCAACAAATCTTAACTTTATCTTTAGAGTTCGTTCACTAAATATTGCGATCCACATTAACAAGCCAAATTTATATGCCTAAAAGAAGCTAGTTCAGACATTGTCTTTAACTTAGCTATCTAGGTTCGAATGACCTTCAATTTTTGTAGAAACTTCCCTAATTTTAGTTGATATTTTATTTACTATTATATTTTTATTATTATTATAATTCATGCATCTTTAATGAACTGTAATTCCATTGTGATTTTACTTTACAAGTCGATATTATTTACAAAAAACACTAATATCGTTATTGACTATCATTCTAGAATATTCTATGTATATAAACATATATATATATATATATATATATATATATATATATATATATATATAATTGTAAAGCCAGAAGAGGAAACTGTCGAAAAGGATATTCCTTGCTCAATTATTTTGTGTTTTATAGATAAATAAATAAATACTTTTTGTTTTTGTTTTGAAGAACTGTTCAGATCCGATTGTCCGTAAAACACACATGTTTTGGTTATAGTTTTATAATTTCATGTCTGTCTGTCTGGATTCAACATAGAACTTGGCACCGAAGTGCAGCAGTTCGAGTTGCCACGTTCCAAATAGCACACAGAGGTAGACAAGAAGATGAGTGAAGAGAATTAATAGAGTTTGACAAATATAAGAGTGAAACAGAATGGGTAATGGTAGAAAGGAATATGAAAGATTACAGAGATTGAATACATCTGCGCCATTGACAACGATTTTGAGCCATGTCACCTATTGTCTCCAGCCATTGATTCCTAGAGTCCCGAGGGCCCCAACCCGGGAGTCTGCATCTCCCTACCTGACTCAGTTTAACTGTCAAGGATTTCATGGATTGATGCCATGTTTTTGTTTGGCCACCACTGGCTCTTTTCCAACCTGAACCTATATCAGCTAACAATGCCCGTCGGGGGAGGCGGTGGTTAGGCATGCGCACCACGTGACCTAGCCATCTTAGTCTATGTAACTTTATAACCTCGTCGATTGATTTTCCCTCTTTGCCCAACACTCTACGCCTAACGTCAACATTACTTACCTTGTGAAACCACCTAACGTGAGACAGAGATCGCAGACATCTATGATCGAAAGCAGTCAACCTTTTCATGTCTTCAACGCGTATTGGCCATGTTTCAGAGCCATAGAGAAGGACGGAGCGAACTGATGAGCAGTACACACGTCCCTTGGTTGATAACCGGATGTCACGCCTACGCCAGAGATGGTGTAAGTCAGCGAAAGCAGCTCGAGCTTTTCGGATCCGTGCTGAGATTTCATCGCCAATCAGTCCGTTGGTGCTAATACAACTTCCCAAGTAGGTGAAGTGGTCAACATGTTCTATCACTTCACTCCCTATCACTAAGTTAGGGGTTGACGTCGTCCAGTCCTGTAGCAGCATCTTACATTTTGCAGGGGCGAATCGCATGCCAAACATACGAAGATTGCTGCTCAAGGTGTTCAGAAGACTCTGCATTTTGTCAGCATCCTCCCCTAACAGGACTATGTCATCTGCATATTCTAAGTCCATTAGATTATTCCCTGGTAACAAGTCGATTCCTAAGTCACTACGTTCAGTTAAGGATACTTCCATTAGCATATCTATGATGAAGTTAAACAGAAATGGGGAAAGTGGACATCCCTGTCGGACACCACTGGTTGTTACTAATTCAGATGACAATTCCCCATAAGCCCTTACACGACTACGTGAGTTTGAATAGAGTGCCTTGATTAGTGCAATGTACTTTCTTGGCACTCCCTTCACAGTCAGACATTGCCATAGTACTTTTCGGTCCACGGAGTCGAAGGCCGCCTTCAAGTCAAGAAATATGACAATTGTTGGACGCCGAAAAGTGTGTCTATGTTCTAGAATCTGTCGAAGAGTGAAGATATGATCTATGCACCCTCTACCTGGTCTAAAGCCTGCTTGATTTTCCCTTGTCTGTTCCTCCCGAGTTCTGCTTAGTCTATGCATGATTACTGAGCCTAGGATTTTAGAGACTATGTTCGTTAGGCTGATCCCCCTATGATTATCACACGAGGACTTGTTTCCCTTCTTGAATATCGGTATAATGAGTGACTTACCCCAGTCTGATGGTACTGTCTCTGATTCCCAGACTTTGCCTAGTACCTCAGTTAATCTACAAACTAGTATGTCACCCCCATATTTAAACACCTCCGGAATAATTCCGTCGGGTCCTGCCGCTTTGCCTCGTTTCAAATTACTGATAGCTTTTGTAACCTCACCTACAGACGGCGGACCAGTGTCTATATCCCATTCGGGTACGTGGTGGATGGCGGGGAGGTTCAGTGTGGCTGTAGGCAAGTTAAATTGTTCCTCAAAGTGTTCTTTCCAGCGTTCAAGGCGTCTATCCTGAGAGCTAATTAAGGAGCCATTTTTCTCAGAAATAGTCTCACTTATGAATTGCCTTTTCCCGCCCGATTCTGTGATGAGTCTAAAGAGTTGCCTAGTGTTGCCTATCGCCAATGCTTTTTCCATCTCTTTCGCCTTTGTCACCCACCACTGTTCACGGTCCTTGCGGAGACTTTTAGTAAGTTTCCTTTTGTGCAGCTTTCGCTCCTCATTGAATTCGGAGCTCGCCGGAATAAGTCTTCTAGCATCTATCAGTTCGGATGAGGCAGTCGAAATCCAGTGGTTTTTACTCACCTTTGGATTTGTCTTATTCACAGCTTTTACAGCTGTATCTATAGCTGACTGAATATTCTTCCAGGCTTCTCCAGGGTGAGCACAGCTGTCGGATTCAGATATGCGTTTAGCTAGTTCTTCCTCAAATAGGGATTTAGTTTCCTGATCGAGCTGGGGGCGTAATGGTTTTACCGCCAGCTGTTTCCTACGTCCGTTCAGTCGTAAGCACACACGAGCCCGGACCAGTGCATGATCGGTATCTACACACGTGTTCCAGAAGGAGCGACAATCTCCTACCGACCCACGCCAACGATAGCTTATTGCTATGTGGTCTATTTGTGTCCAGCGTTGGTTTGATGATGGGGGTCGCCAGGTTAAACAGTGTCTCTCCTTGTGTTTAAAGTTAGTGCTTACAAGAAACAAATGATTATCTGAACAGAACTGTAGGAGACGGTCACCGTTGTCGGTTCGCTGGCACGGAACTCCATAGGTGCCACCGACATCCTTCTCAGATTGACACAATTTCCCTACTTGAGCGTTGAAGTCACCAGCTAGAACGACTATATCTGAGCGTTTAGCCTTTCTCACCAAACTAGACAGCTTTTGGTAGAACTCATCCTTCGTTTCATCCGAACTGCAGTCAGTGGGGGCGTAGGCGGAGATTACGAAAAGGCATCGGCGAGTAGTGCAGTCCTTTCTCCTTCTTACTGATCCGTTCAGACGGACAGCACACATTCGGCTATCTACTGGGATCCAGTCAAGCAATGTCTTTTCTGCCCTAGTACTCAGAGCTATCCCTACGCCAGCTAATCCCCGTGAACTAGCTGTGGCATCTCCTGACACCCTCAAGGTGAATTTTGAAGATTCATCCTGTTGGCCAGGTGGGGTTAGGTGAATAACCACACTTGGGTCTTGTATGCGTGTTTCTGAAACACAACATACATCAATGGCTCGAGATGCCAGGGTCTTAGCTAGTGATGCTTGTTGTCCTATTTGGCAAAGTGTCCTTACATTAAATGCTCCTATATGAAATTGGTGGCGTGGCTTTAGGAGACTATCCGTGGTGGTTTTTTGGCTTTCGTCGTTTTTAGTGGACACAGAGTGAAGAGGGAGTGAGGAGCCATCAAGTAGAGGAGTTGCATCACTGGGGGAAGGTAAGGTAATAGAGATGAAGATGAAGACAAAGATAAGTGAGGATTAGAGAGGTTTTGTGTGCGTTTTGGATTGTGAGGGCGATTGTTACTTCCCGGCTGCCCACACCGTGGAAGTTGGTTGCGTGACCGCAGAGCCCAGGGGACAACTGCTTGTGGCCGGTCACACGCGGCCTGTTTTTGTTCGTTCTTCGTTGTTTTGTGTGCCTCAGTAGCATACTTATCACTCCCGCCCTGTGACACGGCAGCAGGAAGCGCGGTCGTTGTTAATCCGGGCCACGGCCGATCCGGCATGAAATTTTGTGAATTTGTTTGGATCATGGTATTGGATGAGGTAGCTGCTTTTTGTTTAACCGCTATCCAAACAACCTGCCTGGCATGGTAGAACCTCAAGAGACATAAGTCTCAGCCAGTATAGCTTGATTAGGTCATTGCGGTGTTCAAGCCCGACCACCACGTCAAGGTAGCAGCTTTCATGAGATGACGTTGACCAAGTATATTTTCTTTCTTAGCGAATACTCAGAAGGAAATCCTCCCTTGATCTTAAACATGTCAAGGACTTCAAGTTCAGCCAGAATTATTCTCTGATATAATTAAATAACTTTATCTTGTTATTCGTTACAATTTGACTTCTAAGAAGAAGAAATAATTCTGTAACTCTCTCATCCTTTTGTTATAGTATTCACAAATATACAGCCTAGTTGATGACTTCATCAAATAGATAATATGTCTTTTTTTCCATCACTGTAAATTACCTTTTTGTTTTTCCATTAACATGCATTCTATGCCCTACTGAGGCGTGAGCTACTGATAAGATTTATCAGTAGTATATACATAAATACCAAAGATGTTCATCGGCATTAAAAAAACATCAAACAGCACGAAGATAGATTTGATGTCACAGAAAGCAAATGATACACAGTTGTGGAGATACATGAGATATGTGAATGGAACACAGAGAAAGAGACACAATATGTAGGCCATAAGTAGCACAACAGGGAAGATCTGTGCAAAATGGTGCGTTGAAGATAAAGTGTGCATGATTTGGCTATATAGAGGTATACCAAATTGAAAATGAAAACTCCTTTTACCAAGTCTTTTATTTTCTACCGTTACACTATGGTTATTCTATTGTTTTTACTCGTCAACTAGATAAAATACATCATGTGTGTTTTCTGTCAGGTGGTTCCTTTTTCCGTGTATAAAGCAAACATTATGATTATTGTATTCAATATATTCCTCATATTATTGATTGACAGATAAAGTTTTATGTATTCATATTTCGAATAAAAATACTAAAAGCTGTGTCTATCTATAGAAAGAAAAAATAGTCTTCGCAAATATGATAATGATAACTATTTCATAATACATCTGTAATATACACGTGATTTACAATTAAAAAATAAATAAATAGATAAAAGTGATACACAAATCCTCATTACATCACTTTTGATTTGATATATATTGAATAAGCCTTAACTCTTAATTTTTGTTTCACTTCAGTTCAAAAAAGGCTTAGACGTGATTTTTCTCAGATTACTCAACAGACTACAATTGATGACACCTTGTATGCATCGAATAAATCTCATTCATTCATGGCGGCTACTCAAATGCTCTATATGAATAAATACTTGGAAATGGAGTTAAAGTAAGTGTAATGAATTAAAGAGAACATTTAAAAAAATTTTATTTTGTAAACAAGGTTTAAAGTGTTTATAATTATTACTGACAAGTAATCTATTCAGCAGTAGTTATGTTTCCTAATAGTGTAGGCTTATTTATTCTTTTGCATATTCATTGGTATATATCAAAACGAGGAGTGAATTTCACTTTTCCGCCTAAGCTTTCTGATATAAAAACACAATATTCAGCGAAGAGACTCTTTTCAACGAATTTATTATCAAGCTGACGATATAGTCCTTCTAGGCGAAGACGCTGACGAAATGCAGAGTCTTCTAAACACCTTGAGCCGCAATCTACGAATGTTTGGCATGCGATTCGCTCCCGCCAAATGCAAGATGATGTTACAGGACTGGACTACATCGACGCCTAGTTTAAAAATAGGAAGTGAAGTGGTAGAGCACGTTGACCGCTTCACTTATTTGGGAAGTACCATCAGCCCCAACGGGCTGATCTTTGACGAAATCTCAGCACGAATACAGGGGGCTCGTTTCGCATTTGCCAGTTTACGCCGGCTCTGGCGTAGACGAGATGTTCGACTACCGACCAAAGGGCGGGTCTACTGCCCATCAGTCGGCTCCGTCCTCCTTCATGACTGGCTGTGAGACATGGCCATTGAGAGTGGAAGACATGAAAAGATTAGCTGTCTTTGATCGTAGGTACCTGCGTTCTATTTCCCGTGTGAAGTGGCATAATAAGGTAAGCAATATTGAGGTTAGGCTATGGTCGAGTTCTAGGTAAGGAGGGGAAATCAATCGACGAGGTTGTGCAGTTAAATAGACTGAGATGGTTAGGATATGTGCTACGTATGCCCAGTCATTGCCTCCCTCGACTGACGGGCAATGTTAGCTGATACAGCGTCAGGCTAGAAAAGAGCTAGCGGCGGTCAAACCAAAACATGGCTTCATCAGTCAATAATATCCACAACAGTTAATTTAAGCTAGCCACGTAGGAAGGTGTAGACTTCCTGATTGGTTGGTGTCCTCGGGACGGTAAAAACCAATGAAGGTTGGAAACAATTGGTGATATGGCTCAAAATCATTCTCGGTGATGGCTGGTGCAGATGCATCCACTCCTTGTGACTTATGATTTCGAGTGAAACTATATTGTTCTTCGTTATTACTATTCCTTTGTCTCACACCTCTGTTTACTGTCTCTATTATGCATTTCTTGTACTTTCTTCTCTTGCTTCGCGTGCTACACGGAGTGTGGCGACTTGAACTTCCGCACATTTGTGCAAAGTTCTATGTCGAAAACAGACAGACAGACAGTATATATATGGTTTTTAAGAAATTATATCTGGTAAGAGAATTAGATCAGAGGAGTGAAGACATGAAATAATAATCGTATGAAATGTAATTAAAATATTTGCGATTATAATCATAGTTTAATGTCAAGTGGCAAAATAATTAATGTCATATATACAATAATACAAAAGGTGTATAGATGTTGGAGAGGTATACATAATTATAAGATTACATTTATTCTCCTTAATGAATTTGAACAAAGCAAAGAACTAGTTTTAGCAGAATAAAATGGTACCATCTTTTATTTCGTTACCTTCTCGTCAGCTGCTTACACGACAAAGACATTATTATATCTACAGAAACAATTTTAACATACTTGCACAGAGTCAATTTTGAACAAAAATCAATCGATCAATATACGCATACACTAATATATATATATATACAATATTAAACACTATTCTGAACAATGATAATCATACATAATGGAAACTTCTCAGCATTTCGCATTCGGATGAAGGAGAGATGAAAAATATCTAGTTACCAGGGCAAAAAAACTACTGAGATCATTTGTCAGCAGTCTGATCTTCTCCCACTCCCAGAGTCGGAATTCAAACCCCTTCTGCTTATGTGTACCATGGATGTGCCATTCCAATTTGACAACACTTTTTACCGCCAAATAGATGGTGTAGCTATGGGCAGTCCACTTAGCCCTGTTTTAGCAGATATATTCATGTCCAACCTTGAAAGAACAAAGTTGAAGCATGCAATCGACGAAACATCTTCCTACTGTCGATATGTTGAGGACACATTTATAGTGTACAAAAATGAAAGTCATGCTTCACACTTACTAAGATTAGTCAATGATGCACACGCCAATATTGAGTTTACTGTAGAACATGAAAGTGATGGAAAGTTTCACTTCCTTGACATCGCCATGGAACGCCTAGAAGACGAGAGTCTTCAAAAGTCAATTTATCGAAAGTCTACATAGAAAGGATAATACTTACATTTTAATAGCTTTTGTCCAAATAGTTTTAAACGTGGTCTAGTCAAGACTCTGTACTATAGAGCGAGGAGAATATGCTCTATAGAGAAACTAGAGGAGGAATTTGAGTTCCTTGAAAAGATATTAAAGAGCAACGGGTACTCTCAAAGGTTCATCAACAAGTATGGAAGATCTGAAGTCACAAATGTAAAACAAATCACAGTGGAAAAAGAGCCAGTCTACTTTCAACTTGATTATAAAGGTGAAAACATTGCAGAGATAATCAACAGAAGTCTGAGTACATCACTAGGCATAGCCTATCCTGCAGCTAAGCTCGTTCCCGTCTATCGAACAATTTGCTCTTTGGCGCAATTGAAAATCGGTAGATATCCTTCTCATGTTAACTCCAAATGTTTATACAAATTTACATGTATTTATGGGAGCAGTTACATTGGAAGGACAGAAAGAAGGGCATATCTACGACTTTCTGAACATGTACCAAAAAGCTTACGTCTAAAGAGAAAAAATGCTTTAAACAGTGCCATCGCTAGGCATCTCCTCGACACGGGTCATGAGGTCGAAAAGTTGTTCAAAATTATCAATAGGCAAAAGAGCTCAATTCTCCTTAAGTTTGCTGAAGCCATTTCCATCAAGCGTCCAGAAAGAAGCGGTTATCAGTCTTTCTTTGCCCTGGTAACTGGATATTTTTCATCGCATATATATTAGTATATACGTATATTGATCGATTGATTTTTGTTCAAAATGGACTCTGTGCAAGTATGTTAAAATTGTTTCTGTAGATATATTTAATAATGTCTTTGTCGTGTAAGCAGCTGACGAGAAGGTAACGAAATAAAAGATGGTACCATTTTATTCTGCTAAAACTGTAGTTCTTGCTTTGTTCAAATTATAAGATTAGTAGACGAATATAAAATGTTACATAACATGGTGTGAAATTTAATAATATAGAATTCAATATTGTAAAAATAAAAGATATAAAAATTAATAATTTTGGGTTTAAAATGACAAGTGGGTCAAGTGGAAAAGATTCAGAGTGATAATAATAATAATGGTAATCGTAGTAATAAGGGACAGGTACATAGAATAACTAAATAAACAAAATAAATGTATGTCTATCCCTCTGCCGCCAAGGCAGGAGTAGGGATTGTACGTACTTCTTTTGTACACAAAGGTCTGGCTTAAAGTCATGAATTGCCAAGGCCTCATTTGTCTTTAGAAGTCTGTAACGAAGAAAACGCCGGAAGTTAGCATGAATTCTATATATGATCTTGAAATCATGGTAAGGGTTGATTGAGTGACAGAAGTCGATCAGATGTTCCAGAATAGAGCTTCTCACACACTTTCTTTCTCCCTTGTAAAACCAAGTTGGAATATGTTCTCGTATCCGTGTGGAAAGCGTCCTCTGACTGCGGTCAATGTACCTTGCTCCAAAAAAGCAGGTGAACGGATAGATGCAGATGAAGGCGGGCAGACGGGGGAGCTTATATATTACAGAGGTAGATGACAATTTGCTGCTCGTGAACATCACATGTAATTTTGCTGCAAAGAACGTCTTACTGACTGATTTAGAGAGACGATTTTTGAGCATATCTGAAGCTCGATCTCCTTTGAATTCCAAGTTCATAATTAAGGTTTTCTTTGGAACTGATTCGGTGTCCAGTTTAGACTGCTTATCTTTCATGTTGCTGTCAATAAATCGGTTAGGGTAACCGTTTTCTGCGAGTGTGGCTTTTAAGAAGTCAAGTTCTGAGTCAATGCAATTAGAACTACAAATTTCTCTCATCCTAAAGCAGAGCGAATGAATAAGGTTCCTTTTCCTGGAAAAAGGTACCTAACTGTAAAAACTAGTTAGTTGTCCGTTCCATGTACGTTTCCGGTGGATAGATCCTTTGAGAGATCCGTCTTTACGTCTGCTAAGGCACACATCGAGAAACGGAATACTTAGTTCGGATTCCTTTTCTATGGTGAATTGTAAAGAAGGATAGCAGTTGTTGAAAGCAAACAAGACATCATCAAGAATTACGTTATTATCTCAAATGATGTATCTTTTATAAATGTCAAAATGACCGATGGTTTGACTAAGTTGAGAATTTTCAAGCTTTGCCATTAAAACAGTCAACCAACAAGGGACCCAGTGGTGGATCCCATGGCAATGCCATCTCTCTGTCTAAGGATCTCATTATTAAAGGTGAACGGAACATTTAATGTGCATCTCAATAAAAGCTCTTTGAGGTGGATTGTCGGCAAACCTATTTCTAAACAATGTGTATCAATATAATCACATAAATAACAAACAGTTTCCATGAGAGGAACATTGGTAAATAGCGACGTCACATCTAATGAGAACAGGACTTTGTCTGAGACATTAAAATCTTTAATGCTATCAATAAATTTAAACATATCATCAGTGGAAAACTTAGATACTTGCCTTCTAACTGGTTCCAGTATTTCGGCTAACCATTGAGCGATTCCATGATAAGGAGAGCCCGCCATATCGAGGATTGGACGGAGAGGTAATCCTGTCTTATGAATTTTCGGTAGTCTATACCAAAATGGTATCATGGAGCCTACTGGTCGGATGCGTTTATATATTTCTGACGAGATTGCTGACTTGTTCCTCATGTTCTTTAGGACATCAGTCAGTTGGTTTTCAATTAGATGTGTCTTTTTTTTCACCATTGGGTTTGGCGAATTTCGTTTGGTCAGAAAGGA